AACTAAGCGTGGTCAGTGAGTCCGTGGCTGGTGCTGCCAAGAAGAAGCACAGAAAGGATTGCCACCCAACCACCACCATTGCGGCGTGGAGGCGACTTCAGAGCCTGGGCACTCAGCAGGGGAGCGCCTATCGGCAGAGTCAGCGAACCATGATGCTTAACGTTAGCATTGCAAGGGTAGAGAAGGACTTCCTGCAGAGCGGTGGCCATCAGCTGCAAGCCTTCATGTGGCCTGTTGTCAAGTGGAAGTCCAAAGACAAGCCGTCACGGTTGTCAATCCGGCGGGCATGGCGGTGTCGGAAGTGCCTCTGCTGCTTTCGGGACAAGAAGTGCGTCCAGAGAAGCAAAGGCTGCGGTGCCAAGAGGACCGAAAAAGATGTGAAGCGATCCCTTGCTGCGCATGACCAGCACAAGAAGAGGAGTGAGACTTTGAGCAAGAGCGACTGTGGCTTCAACCCGGAGCAGTTGGAGGGCATCTGGGAACAGGCCAGGCGCGCTTTGAGTGGTGCCCCTCTTGACCGCCAGCCATGAAGCCAGTCACCATCGGCACTATGAACGTTGGAAGGGGTGGCGCGGCCAAGGCCAGCAGGGCCTTGGAAGTCATGCAGGATATGCACGTGGACATTTTGGCGCTGCAGGAGGTTGACCTCAATTCCAGCAGTTGCGCCAACTATGTACAGTGGTGGCGCACTAAGGGATTTACTGTGGTGCTTGGTGCCGGCGAGGCTGGCACTGGAATTTGCAGAACGGCACTGATTTCTCGTTTCCCTCTTCGGCAGATCTGTCTGGAAGGAGTGAGTTTTCCCAGTCGGTGCGCGGCAGGCTTGGTTGAATTTAGAGTTAGCCCTGCTGGGAATGTACAGAAAGTTTTGATGGCGAGCTTCTACGGCCATGCGGACAACGCTAGGGCGGCAAGCTCCCTGGTGGAAGAAGCGGCGGCCGCTGTAAAGGCACTTGGCTTTAAGTGGATCATCCTCGGCGACTTTAACATGGAGCAGCACGAGCACGGGGTGGGCCACTTGCTGACCAACGGCAAGGCGTACTCCTTGGACGAGGCCTTCGGCCCGAGCGAGATGTTGCGGCCCACGCGTCCTGCTGGGAAGAGACGGATTGACTACGGCATCTCTGGGCCAGGCGTTTGGCCAACCGGCATGACTCAATGCCCTGGCCTTGCTGACCACGACATGGTGGTGTACGCCATTGCGGCCTTCTCCGACCTGGGTGGCAGTGTAGGGCCGAGGCGACGCAATTTGGAGGAGACGGACTTGAAGGTCATCCAAAGACAGTGTGAAGCAGAGCTGGCCGTCTCTGCGCTTGACGCAGTCATGGCAGAGGAAGATGTTGACCTTGCATGGCAAATCCTTTCCAAAGCCGCGGAAAACGCCTTGGCCAAAGACTTCTGCGGCCGCGATGAAACGGTTGGTAGGGGTTGCTTGTGGGCTCCCAAGAAGCTTGGCGGGAGGCAAGGGGCGCACAAGGCGGCCTCTAAAAGCTTCGAGTCATGCAGATTGCGGCGCCTGCGGCGCCTCCAGCGCCAACTCAAGCAGCTGCAGAGACAAGCTGAACTTCGCTCTCTGCGGAATTCGGTTGGCAAGGCGCTGGCAGCCCTGAAGGCTGCCCATGCTGAGTTGGAGGGAGCCTTTGCTTGGAATGCCGAGGCTTTTGCCGAGGCTGTGGACAAGTTGCTTGAGGAGGCTGAGCAGGCGGACGAGGAGCGCCGCGTGCTGGAGTGGCGCGCTGACATGGCCAGCAACACGCAGAAGCAAGCTGCCTGGATCAAGCGCAAAACGGACCAGCAACTGGCTATGTCTGACTCAGGGCTCCCCAGGTCGTTTGCTGAGCAGGCTGTCCACAAGGCAGTGCACCCGGTGCAGAGAGTCCTTGAGGCGGAGGCAGAGTGGCTTCACCTGTGGGCGGCGCCGGCAGATGTGAGAGAGGGGCCTCGCAAGATCCAGCAGCTCCTGGAGCACGTCGAGCGCCCTCAGCAGCAGGCCTGGCAGATCGACTGGAGTGGAAGCGCTCTGCGCGCATCTGCACAGGAAATGGGCGCCCGCGCGCCAGGCCCTGACGATTGGGAAGCTGAAGATCTTGCAAAGCTCCCGGAGTGCTGGTGGAACGCAGCAGGGCAACTTTGGCAGCTTGTTCTGGCTAGCGGATGCATCCCACAGACTTGGTGTCAAGTGAAGGTCGTGCTCATTCCCAAGGCCGGTGGAGGGGCAAGACCCTTGAGCTTGACCAGCGTGCTCTGGAGGTTGGGGGCCAGGCGCATCGTGCTTTCACTCCGCTCCTGGATTGCAGCCTGGGCTGACCACAGAATCCTTGGAGGGCTGCCGGAAAGAGGCGTTCTTGATGCTCATGCGCGGCTCGCGCATGCCATTGACTGCTCTCAGATTCTGGTGTCACAGGATCTTGCCAAATTTTTTGACTCGGTGCAGATCCCCCAGGCTTGTACGGTTATGAACCATTTGCGGGCCCCGACTGAAGTGACAAGGTTGATTCAGGTATTCTACGACCAGTGCCAACGTGTTTTCTCAGACAGAGGCGTGCTTGGAACCGGCTGGCACACTGTCGGGAGAGGGATTCTGCAAGGTTGTCCCATGTCGCCGCTCATCGCAGCCAGCATCATGCACATTTGGGCCTGCAACGTGTGCAGAGACGGGGTGGACGGCCTGGTTTACCTCGACGATCGCACCTTCTGGGCGAATGGCGACGGCGCCAGCCAGGGCGACCCATTGCCGGCCTCCTCGTCCTCTGAGCAGCACTTGCGGGTGACTGTTTCCCCCGGTCGGGGGTCCCCTGGCTTGGGTGGCCTTACCAGGCAACAGGCCCTGCGTGCTGGCAAAGCCCGCAGTGATGCGTTTGATAGAGCTTTTGGCTTTCAGTGCAGGCAGTCCAAGTGTAGCGTTGCTGCAGCAGAAGGCAACGGTGAGGCTTGGCTTGTTGCCCAAGACTTTGGGTACCAGGCGTCGACCACGTTTGCGGTTTTGGGAGTTGTGCATGACGTGTCTCAACCAACACAGGCTCAGCTGGCAAAGTTTGACGTGCGAAAGGTGAGATTACGACTCTTGTTCATTCGACGAGTTGCTGCCAACTTCGTGCAGAGACGGGGCCACATCAGGGCCTTGGTCATCCCCGCGCTCACTTGGGCATGTGGGTTTGCTCAGCTTCAGAAAGAAGAGCTTGACACTCTGCGTCAGGATGTTTTGGCGGCCTTTGGGGGCCGCTTGCCGCACGATGTTGCGCCATGCTTGCTGTTAGAAGTCATGGGCTGGTCTCTTGACCCAATTCTTGCGACACGCTGGGCAGCTTTGAGGAATGCCTGCAGATACCATTCTACCTGGCGACCGTGGATGGAAAATAGCGCGCTTGACTTTGTCTGCAAGCGCTGGCCCTCACTGTTTCCGGGAGCAGCGCAGGTCCTGCGGGACTGTGGATGGTGGGCTGAAGATGGCGGCAACTTTGTGTGTCGGCGAGACTCGTGGGGCGACAGTCGCCGTTTTGCTGTTGGGCTGGATGATCCAGCCATCCTCCTGGAGTGGCTCACTGATTGTCACAGGCGATGGGCGATGACCTCTTGTGGCAGGACGAGGCAAAGCCAGCACCGTCGTGGAGCTGATGCTGCTGAGCTTGCGCAAGGCTTGGACTTGCCGGGGCCTCCACGCGGAAGCTTCTGCACTTTCCAGGGCCATGTCCAGATTTTTGAGCATAGCAGCACTGACCTTGATGCTCGGTATGCTTCCCTTGCAGCTGGCATTTCGGTTTGGCACAACAGCGCGGGCAAGAAGTTGAGCAGGGAGGATGACAAGGCGCGCTGTCTCTGCGGCAGCCTTTTCCCTTCAAGGCCGCACTTGGTCTGGTGCTGCCCTGCCTTCCAAGAGAGCAGAATTGGTGTTCCCAGCCCTGTGAACCGCGCGGAGGAGCGGCTCTTTGCCAGGGCTGTGAATGAGCTGCCACGGCCCCCTGAGGACACTGCGGTGCATGGAGTGAAGGCAGAACTGCTTCAGGAGATTGCGGAACTTGTGCAGACAAGTGACCATCTCTTTCTGGCCACGGACGGATCTGCCAAGAATCATGTCGCTTCGTGGGGCATCTTTGTACCTTGTTCTGACAGAGCTTTTGCGGCTGGAGTTGAAGGGGAGGACCAGAGCGCCTTCCGTGCAGAGCTTGAGGCGATTCGTGCCGCCCTGGATGCCGTGTTTGCGGCATCTTCACAGGGCATTGTCATGTGCAGGCATCTCACCATTGTGTCGGACTGCACCGCTGCCATTTGGGTTGCTAGTGGATTTGAGGGAGATGTGATTGAGATGCGTGCTCGTAGATTCTTCGAGCTCCGCCGCTCACTTCGAGCGGTTGGCATTGGAGTCGACTTCAAGTGGGTCCCCTCGCACGGCAAGATTGTCAGGGGCTGGGCGCCTCACCCTCGCGCCACTGAGGCCCAACTCCGAGCTTGGAATCACGCAGCCGACAGGGCTGCCAATGGCTGCATGCAGCGGCTGCTTGCGGGATCTGCTCGGCTGCGCTGGGCTACTAACCGCAAAGGGGCCAAGACTTGGGAGCTCGCTGCCATTCGCGCGGCCGCCAGAATCTCTGCTGGCTACCGCGCTCACTGCGAGTCCTGAGGACAGTGACTGCTGACCCGAGCAGAAAGGGGACAGCGCCTTGCTGCCGCACCCTACTGCTCCATCCAAAATCAAGGAAAGGTCGACGAGATGATCCGGGAGGCGGATGTGGACGGTGACGGTCAGATCAATTACGAGGAGTTCGTGAAGATGATGATGGCCAAGTGAGCACGGGGAACCACAACCCACAGACACGCAGACACACCTCGTGCTGTGTAGGTGTTACTCGAGCTTCGAGCCGAGCCCGTACGGGCAGTATCATGGATCGCCACACGTTTGGAACGCACATCTGAGCAAAATGGCGCTTGCTGCTCTTGCATTTTGACTGGATTTGTTGTTTTTGGGAAGCGACTCACCGATCTGCGCCGATCCGCGCCGCGAGGTGCGCTTCCGTATCAAGATCTCCGACTCCGCGGTATTGTCGTTGGATGGCATTCAAGAGGCCCGAGCCTTCGTTTGTTTGCTCGCTTCCGCTAAACTCCAAAGCCAGAGTTTCTCGCTGCCAGAGATGGAGAGGGGTGAGAGGCAAAAGCGGTGCTAGGCCATGGCCTCCCAGAACTTCGTGCCGCAGATCTTGGCGGGAGACCCGGAATACGAGGATCCACCGAAGGATCCAACGTGAGCGCCGAACTTGATTGAACCGATTGGAATGCATCAAGATTTGACAGCATCAAAGGGAAGTCAGAAGCAACAGGCTGCTCTTGCAATGACCTGCTTGATACATCTGTCGTTCTAGAGTTGGCCGGCGGCAGTAGCAATCTTCGGATGTCGCATTGCGCGCTTGGTTTTCCCTGCCTCACCAATTTTGCAAGGTGAGTAAGTGGTGCCGCTTGAACACCTGCAACACGGAGGAAGCAACCAATACAAGAGCTCATTATCGTTGGCCTAGGGGTCCTGACGAGGTGGACAGGAGGTCCAATCAATCCGATACCGAGGTAGCCTACATGCAGCACACAAGCCTGACCGATCTCTATTTGAGCATGGTTGAGGCCGGCCAAGCATTTGCGAACGTCGAATGCGGCATGACTAACTGCCTTTTGTGTCAAAGTGCAGCAGCTTTAGGTCGGCCAGCGTTTTGCATTTTTGCAACAGTGGATGTGGTGGGAGAAAACCTTAGCAAGGGGCATGTTCAGCTGGCTGATCGATCCAGAAGTCCAGCCCAGCTGCAGGTGCAGCAACCCACGCTTGAAGGACAGGAGGCCAAGGCGAGGATTCAGCTGCCTCCCTCTCTCCTCTCTCTCTCTCTCTGGTTTTGCGCACGGAGAAGGAGTCTGCATGGTTTCATATCATTCTTAGTGCGGCGCTGGATTTGAGTCTTAGATGATCAAACAAGCCGCTGTGCAGATGGTTTTTCTGGATGTCCAAGACTACGTGGCAGCAGCCTCAGATTGCAGTGAGCAACAGGCTGCATTGAAATGCTTGAGCAACACGGACGGAGTCGTGTGCATATCTCGCCACCTGCAGTTGCAGCAAACTGCTTGTCGAACGAGATGGTTGTTGCCTTGCCAACTTCTCCAAACTGTACCCTTCCACATCCTCAAGGATGAGGAAAATTCGTCGCATGCGCTCTTTTCAAGAGAAACCGTTGGGGAGGGGGTCTCAACACAGAAAAACAAGGATGAGGATGAACAAAACACGCCAAGGGGTCTGCACCAGGTCCTGGCGGGGAGTATTTGTGCTTCTTTGCTTGGCTACGCGTGCCTCATTGGCCTGGTGATGCCGACTCTCTACTGGTGCCCTTCTCAAATCTGCCGTGGTTGCAACGGGCCAAGAAGAATCTGGCTTTTTTTGTCACAGCCTCCTGATTGCAGTTTTGATGTGCTTTTGACAATCCACTGTAGACTCGATAGAGTCTAGGCTTTTGGAATGCTCACTTGTTGAGACACACCCATCTGAGTGGGCACTGACCAGGTGCGCATTCGTCGCCCGCCGACCAAGCCGCTTGCAAGGTCGGATTCTCGTACATCGGATTGGGTGCAGGGTGGGCATCAGAAGGGGGGGCACGAAGAAACACACCACTGGTCAGTGTTCCTTGCATGCGCCTATGCTGCAGGGTATACGCAGTACATCCCGGAGGAGCACCAAACAGGGTGGGTGCCAGCCTCACTTTGCCACTTGCTCCTTTGCGTTTTGCAAGTCAGCGTTGCCATTCGCCGACTCCTTGCAGCAGGTCTGCAAAATGAACATTGAACGATGCTTTCATTTTGTTTGCTGTCTGCACTCGTCGTTGCTCAGTTGTTTGGCACCTGCGACTGGTACAAGTCCAAGGCAGGGCTCTAGATGTTGCATGCCGTGCGGAGAAGTTTTGCCCCGGCAGGTCACCTGCTGTTCATTGATCGTGCTGCTGCTTGGCCCTTGGATGGCACGTGTCATGTTCAGCCTCAGTTGGAGCTTTCCAGTCCAAGTTCCAGCGGTCGAGATCCAATGGCATGCGACAGTTTTTGCAGCAGTGCGTGTGGTTTTGGATGTGATCCGCGCAGCTTGCGCGCTTTTTTTTTGCACGATGGAGGCCTGCGCGACTGGCCTATACTTGGGACACCGTGGGCATAGTGCCATACTGGACCGGAAGGGCATCACCGAAGGGCTCGTGTGGTTCATGGCCTCGAATTGCATCTGGGCAGGAAGGGTGTGCGGCAAGCTATGATGTGCTGTGGCTTGTACCTCCTGGGCTGCTGGCCTTGTGGCCAGGGTCCCAGCTGAGCAAGTTCAAGCTGGTGTCAAGCTGTATCTAAGGCAAACACGACGGAAGGTATTACTGAAAAAGCATGTCCTGCGACATGTCTCTTTGTGTACCTCTTTGCGGCATGTCTCCTGAGGCGCTTTCATTGCTGGCCAGAACCGAAGCGATCTGAAAGACTTTCTGGGCTTCGGTGACGGAGTTGGGCCCCTACTTTTGTGTTGATGTGAGACCCAACGCTCCAAATGACATGTGTCCATTTTTTGAGAGAGAGAGAGAGAGAGGGAGAGAGAGAGTGAGAGGGAGAGAGTTTCACAGCCAGGCCCGCTGGGGTCTATCGGTACAGATTCCCTTTTGCAAGCCAGCACACGTCCATGATCGTCAGATTCTTGAGTTGAAGCACTGCAGGTCAAGAGCAACATCGAGATGGCAGACATTTGTTGGTACATTCTTTGTCCCATATGCAGTGTGGTCCAAGAGGCCTGGCACGTGCTGCGTGATCTTTATGGTCCCAGCTGTTGATGGCAGCTTCCTTGGTGCAGGCTGCGCATGTCGACAAGGTGTTTGCGGCAGTCCGAGCTGTTGCGGAGCCGGCTGGTAAGCAAGTCAAGAGGATTCTGCCTGCTCTTTCGATTCACACGCTTGCCGAATCTTGAATTTTATATTCGCCTATGATCTTCTTTGCATTGGTCGGAACCCGCTAGAAAATGGTTGCTGGACATAAACCAGATGTACATGATGTCCACCGAAGGGTCCACCCAAGCAGTCCATGTACCCAATTTGTTTTTGTTTGCTTAGTTTGGCATGCTTGATACGGCACGATGCCAGGTAGCAGCGGAGGCTGCTGAGAAGGCCAAAGCCAAACATCAGGAGGGGTAAGAAGGTAGAATTGTGTCAGGGTCTCTTGAACATCTTTGGGTTTGCTTTCTTGACGATGTGACCCATCCTGGTTTTGGCTTAGGAGGATGAGGATGAGGAGAAACCCATCGAGGCCCCTCTATGGGCACATGTCGCTTGGTCTGCGAGTGATGTGCAGGTCCCGACATTGCAGTCAATGTTTGATGAGGGAATCAATGCAGCGCTGGACACGGCTGTGGGGGCATTTGACTAATGCGTCAATCGCCAAGCCCACTGCCGGCCCGGAACCGGTCGACAACCGACTTGGACAGATGGTGCTTTTGCGCCATAAGCTCAGCTTAGTTTTGCTTTGATTTGAGGTTCGTTTTTTGTTTGTGGAACACCCAAACTTGCTTCCCCCTGTGAAGCATCCAGCTGTACATAGTGGCACCGAGATGCCCGGATGCCTTCCGTTTCACAAAGCGGATCACAAAGTGGATCTCAGGCGGGCGAAAGTCTCGCAGGCGGCGAAAAAGGAAAAAACGGCGAGCTTCTCGGTGAAAGAAACGCAGCATCCCGAGGCCAAAGCAATTCAGCACACCGCAGATGCCGCCGGCACCGCCTTGAGGCGCCTTTGTTGGCAATGGGGGAAGCCAGTGATTACAGGATTCTATCTTTTTCGGAAGATCCCCTCACGTGTCGGGGAAAGGTTCCGAGGGAACCTTTTCAAAAAGGGAACCTTGGCAAGGCTTTTGAAAACTGCTCTGCAGCTGCCAACATCTCTCCGAATCGAAGCATGGCATGGGAACTTCAATCTTCAAGGCAGTATGTCCCAAGGCCCAGTTGCAAAAAGCAACTCCACTAGAACAAAAAGGAAGCTTAAATCACCGAGGTGGTTGGTTTCCCAAGAGAGGTCCTGCGTTCAAGTCTACCTGGTCGTCAAAAAATGGGACCCTAATCTTGCTGCACTTCAATGTCAATTCGCCCGTCTTGGTCAAGGCTGCTTGCAAGTGGACTGAGGCAGCCTCTTGGACGTGCTGTTTGTTTCTCGTTGAGACAAGTCACCCCTCGCTGACTGAGAGCTTGACGCGAGGCAGCTGCCGCAAGGGAGTGGCCAGCCAGAAATGGCCGTCAGACTTCTGCGGGACTTATGCGGGAAAACAGATGGGAGCACTGCCACTGCACCCAGCGAGAGGAGGGCTGGCAAGGTGCACAAGGGTTGAAGACTCCCTCTCTCCTTGTTTTTCGCTCTCTACCTCTCTCGTTTTCTCTAGATCCCCTCTGTCTCCCTCTCTCTCTCTCTCTCCCTCACTTTTTCCCTCTCTGTTTCTCTTTGCCTGCCTCCGCTTCCCTTTGACCGCCGCACCATCTCAGCTGGTTCGCGCCCGGTCAGCGCCCGCTTTGGGCAATGGCAATGGCGCAGGCCTGGGCTTCTGGGTGCCAAAAAGTCCTCAAACCCAACCATGGAGCCAGAAGCAGAACGGTGGATAGAAAGCCTCTGGCACGGATGGTGACAGCAAAGCTTCTTGTTTTAGAGAGGGTTATTTTTCGGCTTCTTGCGTGTTGAGAAGAGTCCTTTTGAGCTTATCTAAGGGGTCCGCCCAGCGCCGCCCACCCCAACCTCGAAGGTTGTCGTCATTTTTGCTCTCAGAGACTCTCGCAGGGCCTTTTAATTTCCCGGCTTGGGGAGTTTCCCTCCCAAAATGGAACGAAGCGTCGTTGTACAGCTAAACAATATTAGTATTTCCCAAATGTCGCCCTTGCCTGGACCTGTACACCTACCATTGGATGATGATGATGATGATGATGATGATGATGATGATGATGATGATGATGCTGCTGCTGCTGCTGCTGCTGCTGCTGCTGCTGCTGCCTTTTGGAGTCGGGTTCGGCGGATTTTGATAGCAAGTTCATGTTCCCTCACCTGCTTACCTGCACTGTCCTTGCCCAACCACGGCCGGATTTTTTCCAGGAAAGCATGGACGAGACCATGGATATGGCCGCCACACAGGAGACGGGATGCTGAAATCTTTGACTTTCTGGCAACCCGAAGTTTCACAGGAAAGGAGTTGTCTGTTTGCAAGAAATCACAACATTTCACAGCTGTAATATCCCAAGGGGTCATTTGCAGGAAGGGTCGCCGTGGGCGGCCGCCAATTATTCAGCCCAGTCAAGCGGCACTATTCAATTTGAGATGAGGAATGCCACCAAGCTTTGCATGACGAGTGGCAACACTCAGGAGCCAGAGCAGACCGAGATAGTGCAACTGAAGGCCGAGTTGCAAAGGGCTTCCATTGCCATTGCGCCCAAAACCATCACGGGTCTGTCCGGTTTTTTTGGGGGGCACCCTGTTCTGCGTATCTTTAAAGAGAGACCAAAGGAAGGCCACCATTTTTTGGGGGTCCAGCCTAAAAAAGGCGCACCAAAGGTCCGCCTTAGGGCCGCTTTCGGCGGGGCCTTGGTTTCCCCGAAGTCAGAATTGCGTGAGAGGTGCATGGCGGTGGTGGCCGGGTCCCCGGTGGCACAACAAAGGAGGCCTCCAAGTCTTGGTGGCTCGCCATCCGGTTCCTTGGCGTTTTAGCCTTGTGTTTGGTGGTAGTTTCCATTTAATTTAGTAAAAGTTGAACTTTTAGCGGGGGATCTGAGGGCAGCCCAGAATTGGTTTCATGTTGTTTTCCTATGTTCAGGTATGTGTCAAGATAGGGGGACCTCTGTTGTTTGGCTCTTGGTTTCCCCAAAGCAAGCTGAAAGAGGTACCTTCAACAAGAAGCACGAACCCAAGCGTGCCCCCCAAGCCCGTTTTTTGCTTAGGCCTGACGGCGACAATGGTCCCGGAAGGCCTAGGCAGGGCTTGTTACGTGACACGTCAGGCAACTCCAGGTGGTTGGGATTTTGCATCTGGATAAGCCTTGGTTTTTGTGGGTAAATATGAGACCCCTTTAACACCCCACCTCAGAAGAGGCAAACCAAGAGGCTTCAAAGCACTGAGCATTCGCAGGCCTGGATAGCCATGTGCTTGATGGCACTGTTCGAGCAAGGCTGTCGCCTGAGGAGCCATTCACTCTGACTCCTTGCACTTGGGTGTTCTCGGTACTCTTGGGCTTGTTGTCAAGCCAAAGGAACCCATTTCGGAGGTTCCCTTAAAATCTTAGCACATGCGGGGTCCTTCAAACAGGGCCTCTTGACTGTCTCACTGAAAGTTTTTCGCATCTGTTCCTTGATGTGGAGTGGCACGTATTTTTCACTGAGTTCCCATTCGGTTGACACTGGAAGGACACCTGTAAGATTGGTTGACCAAATCGGCAAGTTTGCATCAACTTAGCCCCGAACCAAGCACTTGTTGACCTGGCGAGCTGTCAGAGAAGCCGGATGTCTATTGGAGTTGTGTTATGTGACGCTGGGGTTACTGGCCATCGGGCCCCGTCGGGCCGCGATTATGGAACCTGTGGATATGAAGCGAAGCGGTCCCAGCGAGGAGCGCCTGGCTCGAGAAGTCGCCCGGCGCCGGCAGGCAGCGCTGGGTCGGTCGCTGGGTCGCTGGTTCGGTGGTACCCCCTAATTTTTTTGATGTTGTTTGTGGTTGTGAAGGGAAACCGAAAGGAACACCCAGCCATTTTGGGTATCCCCCCAAAACGACGCACTTGGATTGACCTTCCTTCTTCCCTTCCCAGGCCAGTGTCCTTTTTCCTTTCCTTCGGCCTTTCGACTCCAGAAGGGCCCTTTGTTTTCCCAAGGCGAGTCTTTGACAAAAGCCGTGGCTGTCAGCTTGTTTGGTCTCTGTCAGGGGCTCCCATGCTATGGCTGTGAGTCAAAAATTGGTACCCAAACTGGAACCCTGGTAAATTGAGCGAAGGACTACAACCTGCGGGCGCCTGGTGGTTTAATTTTGACCCATACCCATATGGGAACCCGAGCGAGACGCTCAGTTGGAGCTGGAGCGGCGGCAGCGCATCTTCAACTCCAAGCGCCGACTCATCGGCATTGACAAGCAGGCCATTTGGCAGTTGTCAAACATAGGGTAACCCCAAAATGGATCCCTGGCAATTGGAAACGACTAAAACCTGCGGTCTGTTCGTTTACTTTTGACAAATGCCCATTCCTTCGGGTCCCCCGATGCTTCACACCGCTCCCCACGTCAACTGCTCGTTTTTTTGGTGCCTGTTGTGCGATTTTTTTTGATCTGATTGCCAGGTGATAGATGCGCAAGTTGCGGAGCAGCAACTTAGGAAAGAGGAGCAGAAGCGGCTTGAGCCTGCTGCGGCCAGTTTGCGCAGTGACTTGCTGAAGTGGATTTCTGAGTGCTGAGCGGAAGAGCCCGACATGTCGAAACAAGCTCATGGCAGTTTGGCGCGTGCTTTTCGTGCCAGTATCGCCGAAGATCGCGCGATGCTTGCGCTTGACAAGCAGCTGAAGTTACAAGAGGCTGGAAAACTTCACCTGCACGGCTTGTGGCAACAACTGACTCCTGTTTCAGGGCTCCCCCTTACTTCCCCCTCAACATCAGCTCACCAAAAGGAAACTCCTCACTTTTTGGGACAGCACTTGACGTTCAGAACCACCAAAAGGCAACATATAGAGAACTCCTTCTTTTGTGCATGTTGCCTAGTGTTCCAGGCTGCCAAGAAGCAGACCATCTTCGAGTTGGAAAAGGATTGTCGAGAGCACTGGCCCAAGTATCTACAAGTCAGAGCGCGAAGCAGGTAAACAAGATATGCCAGTGGAGGCTTAAAAACCGGGCTTCATGCCTTAGATGCTCAGCGAAGGTTCAGCTCTCAGCAGCTAAGCAAAGAGAAGAGCGACACCTTTGACCTCAACGACCCGCTGCGGCTTCGGAAGGCAAGCCACAGGGAGTTTTTTGTATCAAAATTGTTTTCAAGGGAAGATGAAGGCAGAATACTCCTTTTGGGGGTCGTTTTAAAGGGAAACCAAAGGCAACGTGCCGTTTGGGGGTTCCCACATCATAAGCCAATCAGCGACCGTCACGTCTTGCAGGAGGCTCAGATGCGGTATGGCGATGCCGACCCGCGATGCGGCTGGGCGCCCTGCGCATGCGATGCGTCTCTCGGGGCAACACAATCATTGGTGACTTCTTTTGATTTCCGTTTCATATTTAACATGATATTTTCAATAAGAGTGACACCAATGTGTCGCAGGGGCAGCCAGCATGCTCAAGTTTGGCGGCGAGGACCGCGGCCCGCAGCTTGCATTGGCATCCTTCACCTTTGTGGCTGCAGGACCTCATGAAGGCCGAGCGCAAACGGCAGCAGCAGAAGCAGCAGGCCGCCCTCTTCGCGCACTTGCACTGCGCGATGCGATGTTCGGATGGCTGTGGGTCAAAACCAATGGTACCATTTTGGGGTAGGTGCACCACCCATGTTAGTTTATTTTGGTGGGGATTGGGATGCTCACTGGGGGTACGATTTGGATTTTGACCCATGGCCAGATTCCATCAGGTGATGTTCATTGAGCAGCAGCAGTTCGAAAAGGCGCGGCGCCTGCTTCGATCGCCTCACCGTGCCAGTCCGCCATGGTGACACTCAAGCGACTGCCGGTCAGCCCCTTCAGCACTGGAGGAGATGCTGATCGAGGAGAACAGCGACAAGAAGTATATCCAGGAGACAGCGGAGATGATCGTCTTGTTCCCAGTCGTCCATGGACTTGGAATCTGCGAATGGGTAATTGTCGGGTGATTTCAGGCCCACGATAGTGTGCGGCACTCCCGTGTATAAATCCCCCGTGCGACATCGAGGCCAGTGTGTTGGTGTCTCTCTTTCAAGTCGAGATTGGTCAACTATGTTCTGGGACCATGTTCAATGGCTTCTAACAAAGGGATCAACCGATCCCCAAGGGGAGATTCTGGCATCCGAAAGGCAGGCATTCGTGTCACGTCCGCAAATTCCTGAGGCACTGCGAAATGAGATGGAGGTACGGCGCGTTGGCCGCGTTGGTTTAGTCCAGCCGTGTTTGGTCCTTCACCCTTGGGCATTTGGTCATCTCCTGCATGGGCTTCTCGAAAAAGCGCTTTTTTTTGGGCATGGTGGTTCACAACCACGGATCCTGCAAGATGCAGAAATCTCCCTACAGCTTGTAAGAGCGGTGGCGGCCAGACGAACGAGCAGAACCTGCGCAAGGAGTTGCAGCAATCGCAGCAGGCGGGATATTGGGCTTAAGCTCTACATGAAGAAGCAGACTCAACAAGTCAACAAGTCAACCAAGATAATCGTCAAACAGTTTGTGTGCTTCGTTCTTGGCATGGAGGTTAGCGTGCTTGCGGAACGCGGAACTGCGGCGCTCGTTTTGTGTTGCGCCGTCTCCAGGCTGTGAACTTGGACCATGCCGCAGGTCGGGCCAGGCAGCAGCAGGACCGAAGCCTCGGAGGGCAAAGTCGAACGGTCCGTCAGTGGAGGTTTGCATCGGACTCGTTTCTGTAGGCCGCTTACATCAACGCCACCGCAGCCCCAGCCGCAGCCACCACCAGCACCGCCACCAGCACCGCCACCAGCACCGCCACCAGCACCGCCACCAGCACCGCCACCACTGCAACAACAACCACTTGGACCTGGGAATGAAAACAAGAAAGACTCAACAGGCAAAGCCGGAGTGAAACGATGGTCAACAGGCAAAGCCGGATTCACACGATGATGGGGTTTGTGGCAGCCACACGTTGTTTCCCTGGTCGGCATGTTAATGTGGGTATATTTTTTCTTTTCAAGGTACCCTTTGCAAGGTAAGCATGATTGCAAATTCGCCCGAGACATCCTACCGGATAGGATTCCAAAGTGCTGCGCATGCGCGAAACAAAGTGGTTTTCTTGGGTGGGACAGGTCGCTCGTTGGCGGTGAGCCAAAAACACATTTCCCCGTGTGAG